CTGGCCGATTTGCGGTGTACGTAGACCACTATACATCCCGAGCAAGGACCATGTATATCCCAAGGACCCTTTTCGTTGCACCAACCTTGCACATACATTCCAACCTGTCGGGGCACTCAATGATGACAACGTTCGAATGGTATGCATACGGGTGAACGCAAGGGTCGCTTGCCCACAACCTTCACCGCGCGCTCCTCTCCTCTGCTGGCAGAGCCTTTCTTCCGTTCAAACTATACTTCAACTTCAATAGACCGCCCGAAGTCTCGTCCAATACGGCCCGATCCAAAGCTCAAGCGTTGTTGTACGCCCATGGCCGACCTGGCGAACGCGCTGACAGCCAATCCTCGCCCATCAACTCCGCAGTCTTTTACGCGACACCTTCCCGAGGACGTTCTGGCGATTATCTTTAGGCTTGTCATCGACGAGCACTATGCCCATTCCGACGCGCCTTTCCAACCTTGCGCACCTCAACTCGTGCTCGCATCCGTCTGCAGTCAATGGAGAGAGCTCAGCCGCAGCATGCGCCATCTCTGGACCACAGTACCCGTTGGAGCCGACCCCTCGCATGCAGCGCAATGCCTCATCCGATCTGGCGAGTTACATCTGCGCGTTGGAGTCCAGTTCAGCGTACACCCGTGGTCCTCCGACAGAAGCGAACCCGACCTTATCAATCAAGTACATCGCGCTCTTTATCCTTTCACCTGGCACATCAAGACCAAGCTCCCTGTAAACCGCATTTTCCTAGTGAAACGCGTACGCGAAGTGGCCATGTCTGTCCCGCCTTCTCTTGTCTCGCGATTCCACACCCAAGGCGTGTGGAGAAGGCATTACTTCCCCGACGTTCGAACCCTATATGTCTCTCTGAAGAAGACTCGAGATGAGGTGTCGATGGAAGCGGCGGCGTGGTTACTTGAACGTTGGCTACCTACCTCTCCTTACGATCTCTCTTGGGCTGGCCCGCGCTTGTTTCCCAAACTCCATCATCTACGTCTAGATGGACTTCACCTCCCTCAGTGGTCTCTACGTTTACCCAGCAATCTACACACTATGGAGCTACACCTCATTGATGCCCCGCAACGTAAGCTGCAGAAGCTGGATCACAACAGCATCTCGCTTTCTCATCTCTGGGACGACCTTGGCTCACTTGCGCACCTCAATCGCCTATCCATCGATTTCGCCGATGCCTTCAGCGGCGTCGACATCATCGCAGACATCAGTCTACCCTCTATTCACGAGATCAACCTTACAACCCAATCCCTCAGCTTGTTGTCCAACATAAGCAAAGCAACGCGCATGCCATCTCTTCGTCGCTACACCCTCGCGCTCACCCTTCGCCATCGTTCTGTGCTGGATCCTCCGGCCGGCGATGAGATCGTCTCTTCGCTGCGCTGCTTTATATCGCAGCTTCCTCCTCTACACGCCCTCTATGTTCTCCATCGCACCTCAACGCGGACCGCCATCGTGACCGTCGCGGCTGCCTCGCATTTTCTGGACTGGCCTGCTTCTGTCGCGCAGGACGCTCTCTTCGATGATACCAACCTTCACATCACTTTCACTTGCGATGTTAGGAGCCGCTGTGCATCTACTGCTGAGACCTTTCTTGGCGCGGCCTTGGAGTGCATGGCCTCGCTTTCCGACACACACCCTATCGATTCCCTGGAGATATCTTTGGACGATGACCATCTCACCACGTTCGTCTGCTCGCCGGGAGTTATCGGCAGGTTCCAGAAGATGCAGAAACTTACATGCCACGATGGCCACGCCGAGCTCATATCGAACCTACTCCAGAACTCCACCCTGTTACCCCATCTGAAGACGCTCGCCACATCGTCTCTAGACCCGGTCGGAGCCGCCACTCTGGACGCCTTGTCTGACATGCGGAAAGGCCTATCTCACCTGACGTTGCCGAATACGGATATTTTGCGCGATGGGATTCGCTAGGTGTCAACGTGGAGGGTGACTGTCGCGCTAGAGAGGGGGTCGGCGAGGGCGAGTGTAATCGATATGCCGTGTACCAATGTTTTTACCATCTACTATCGAATACAATCTATCCCCATCTAGTTATTTCATTAGCCTATGCAAATTCTTTGAGAGCCTGTACGAGGTTTGACGATCACACATATTCACTGCAGCGCAATACTAGTAGCGCGCGCGACTGATTGAGGCTCAGGTTGGCGTCTATGCTCACAGAACAAGCTGTATCATAGTTGTATGTTTTCGACAGTTGATAGAGGAGTTTTCAAGATGGCCAAGGAGCCTGATTACAGTATGTCCCACCCGATAGCTACGACTGCCATCCCTCTTGCCTTTGCAAAGCACCTGATTCCGCTCTCGGGTTGTCCTGATACTTGTTGCGAGCCTCAGTGAGAGCGGCCTGCGCCTCCTCTATTGCATTACGAGACTCCGGCGAAGCGCCTTTCAATACTCGTGTGACAGTCATCAAGGCCTCTGCTGCCGCCTTCAGTGCCTGCGCAGCATCTTCATCGTAAGGCATCTGCGTAGGCGCCAGCTGAACGTCCCTGAGCTGCTGATAGGGAGCAGACGTCATGGCATAGGGTGCTGACCCGTACGGGTTGTATGGTGCACCGTAGAAGCCCTGGTCCGATCCTGGTTGTGGTATGTACGGGCTCTGATACTGCCACTGAGGGTGCGGCGGAATGTTAGCCGCTGGTGGGGCAGCAAGATCTGGTGGCGGCATCAGACCGGACGGCGGCATCGCACCCGTTGGCAGCATCAAGCCCGGTGGTGGCATCAAACCTGGAGGCGGCATTATGAAGCCCGGCGGAGGGTCTACCGGCCTCGGAGGCTGTCCTTCGTAATAGGGATCAAGGGGCGGGTTGCGGTAATAGTCGAATTGCTGTTCTTGCGAAGCCTTGGGCCGGTGGTAAACTGAGGGTAGATGGGGTGCATACGGATGGTCAGGAGCCTGGCGATGTGCCGATTGTCTGCTCCGTGGCGGGGGTGATTGTTGTTGAACTTGCCGATCAAGCGCTCTGCCCTGTGGAAACGTGTCGACTACGTTCGAGGTAGACTTGTGCCGTGAGCGACGCGGTCGCGCAGGGACCGCGTATGCCCCGGCCACGCTCGCCGTCGTAGACCCCCCTGCCACCTTTGCGGGTTTAGGCTGTTCGGCCTGTGCATCGACCTCGAATAGGCCATCGATGCGTTGCTTTGCTTCATTGTATCGCGCTTCTTTCTCGGCGTAAGTGGGTTGAAGTACCTCTTTTGCGGATGATGCAGCGCTCGCAGTAGTGGGCTGACGTTTCAAGATAGATATCGGCGATGTCGAGGATGTGGGCGGCGATACATGCACGTCAGTGGTAGTAGATAGTTCAAGATTCCGATTGACAGGCTCCTCGACTTGCGACGCAACCTCGTCGTTGAGATATCGGTGACTTAGAGCAGATGTTGGACGTTTGATTCTGAGTACATCGCTTGGATCTGGGGCCGGGCCATCGCGCAGTCCGAAGAAGCGAATCGACTGCTCCTCAAAGGATGCGCGGCGCACGCCGCTGCGTGGGTTCGGAAGTGGATGCTCGACAGTGATAGCGGCGTCTTGTGTCGCAGGTTTGACAGAGAAGAGGGCGTCCTGTACGGCGGCGGGCGTTGCGGGAGGTTTTGATTCGCACTCGGAGGGCGTTTTCGCTGGGATCATGGGTGTCGCATGGGGCTTGGCGCCCAACGGCGGAAAGTCGGATCCGGTCAAGCATACAGCGACATCGCGGGCAGGACGCTTCCAGGCCGCAGTTGGAGCAACTATGGGTGTTTGACTGTCCGTTGAAGGGTTGGGAGATACAGTCGTCGGTCTTGATTGAATGGTAGACTCGTTGTCACGCGTCGCGCCTGGTATGGGAGCCGGGTCAGCCATATCGCCAACACTGCCTTTCCTTTCCGAAGCAGGATCATGCAGCCCACTTTGAGAGGTGGAGGGGCCTGAGTTATCCGGAGTAGTGGTCGTCTGCGCCTGACGCTTCGCTTCTCGTATGTCTTTTTTGGATTTGACCGGGATCCACTTATCTGCAGTTCGCGTGAGCAAAGCTTTACGAATGCGCGAGTTGCCTGAGATGCGACTGAGATAGAGACATACTCTTGTTCCGGGGCACAGCACTCTCTGTGAGTGCCATATGGTCCACCAACGCTACAGACGCGAATCAGTCTTTGAATCAACTATATATGCCCTGAAGGAGATACATACTGCTGGATTCGACCTTCTTTTGACTCACGGTAGACTTTGCTTGGGAAGTGGCCGTCGGTTTTGCAGGGTTGTTCGTTGTTACCGGGGTCACAGCGGATATGATCTTCGCTTCAACCGTAGGTCCCGTTTTGGGGATCACAACAGCAGGTGATCTGCCGTCAAGCGATTCCTGCCTCGCAGTTGTCGCAATCGTCCGAATCGGGTCGCTAGTCTCGCGTTGTGTGTCGTCAACGGGGGTGGATTCGTTCTGCGCATTGTGCCGCTTCTTCCCTTTCTGCTTCTTCTTCTTCTCCTTGTTCGACTGGACAGAGACCAGGTGCTTTAGATGATCTAGGTAGGGGTATGTCAGTACGAAGAGAGGGAGGAATGAAATCGAGATACAGCGTGGACGCACTTTCTCCTCGGCGCCCATCATGATGAGAGCCGACGCCAGCAGCTTCTACTGTAGAATTCACGCCGGACACTGTACAGTTCTGTCAGTTCGATCATACTCTTCATTCCGCATGGCGTAATATGATGGGCATACCGACCGCATCGTCTTGACTATTAGTTATCGGTGGCACAGATACTAGCCCAACTTCGCGTGTAATGCCCGCAGTATCGACGGAACGAACTTCTGTAACCGCGTCCGTATGGCTGCTGCATGAAGACAGTTTTCCATTGGGATCGCTGGTCATATCGGACGCGGACTGAGCGGTCGTGGTGGAACCGGCAGGTATGGGAGCGGTATCCACAGCACGCGCGGTGTCGTTCGTAGTGGACACTGCAATGCTGTGAGTGCCACCATTGCCGTCAATGCGGGGATCTGGGCCCGCCGCCGTCTCTTCCTGCCGCTTGACCTGCTTCTTTTTCTTCTTTTTCTTTTTCTTCTTCTTTCCGTCTGTAGGATCCGAGATAGCCTGATCGGTATCATCTGTGAAGTAGACGGTCGTAAGAAAGCGGGAACATCGAATGGCAGGCATCGTCGTAACTAGAATTGGCCAACACAGAGGCAGGGGCGGGCGACACGGGCTCATAGAGGCAATAGGGAGGGATGAAGGACGACAAGAGATGAGAAAAGATACGTACCAACTTTATTCTCGATCATGTCCGCGATGAAGTTTGTGATATCGTCTGTATCCAGTGCATACTCTGCATGAGGATGTGAGACCAAGGTGTATTAGACGAGAGGGTATGTCACGTACCGGCAACCGCTTCCAGATCGACCATTCCATCGTCCGATTCCTGATTATATTCTCAGGGATTAGCATGTTATTCTCAGTGCAATTATGCTTCAAGATGAATGCTGACTTCTGTATCCTCATGCGTGTGTCCTCCACAGCAGCATGTGTGCAACTCTGGGACCTGACCACAGCAGAATTCGCGCCTCTGTCCCGTGGAGAACACCATGTCCAGTATAGGTCCGGTCGTCCGACCGGGATGCGGAAGCGTGCCGGAGTCGAGTTGTTGATCGGTGAATGGGAATGTGCGAGGAAAGGTGAGGAGCTGGTCGCCACCAAAGTCCAATTCAAGAAGATACGAGGCCATACGAGGGCGCGATGACTTGTCTGAGGGAGTTGTAGCCACACCCCGGGTTTCCGCTGCAGCGCGCATCGCCAGGGTCTCCGCTAACGCCTCATCGGGTGATACGAGGCCCTTAGGCAACATTCCGGAGGTAGAGGGTATTGCCGTGTGAAGGAAGTGGCAGCTGATGAAGCGAAATCGATATTCCGTCGCAACCTTGGGGCCATTGTCGTATGCAATCGTGATAAGCAGCGTAGACTCCCTTTCAGAGCCAGGTGGTGAGCGGATGAGGAAGGCTAGCGCCGCGTTTGCTAGAGTATCGTGATAGATATTGAGCCAGAACGTGAAGGTGCGCCACGCGTAATAGTCTCCGGAGTCGTCCGTGGCTCTGTCTTCCCATTCTTGCCAGCGCTCGCAGACTAGCTGGTGCTCTCCTTTCCGGTCCTGGTCCCTACATTCCACAGACTAAGTACAACGAGTAGCAGGCGATCAGTAAGCGATGGGCCGCGATTCAGTATCAGAAGAACGCACGCAGTACCGAGGGACATAGCAATATTTGCAGAGTAGTAACTTCGGCAGAGAATCATCGTCTTCCGAGTACAAAGTTCGGGAAGTCTTCTTGCAGTAGTCGCAACGCGGATGAGTGTGTATAGGAGGGTTCGCATTGTGGAAGATGCCAGGAGGGACTGTGGGCATGATTGTCGGGACCTAAGCGAAGGGACAACCCGGCTTCTGCTGGACGGTTGGTGGATATGATTCGGCGCCTATGGCACGTGTGATATGAGGTAAATGTATTCCGCAACATATATACATCGTATGAAACTTCCCATGTCTAGGCATGGGTGAAGCGTATATGTCCGGAAGAGATGCGCGCAGAAGACGCAAATCAGCTGTCGATGATGGCGGTAGCAAACGTAGCCTGTATCTCGATCCACCCGCGAGACCGTTGTCGCGCCTTCGGTTCTAAGAGGCTGCACGTGCTGTGTGGGAACCAGTCTTAGCGCCGCTACGGCCGAGACGCGTCGCGCGCGCGGACGCGTTCTGCTATGTACCGCGATAAGTGGAGTCCTGCGATGCTGAGTCTGCCTAGGGG